AGGCAGCTGTGCCCCAGGGTCATCTGTCCCATGCAGACAGGGCGCGTTGTCCCCAAGAACAACAGGAGTTGATCTGGCAGCCACCGGCTGTGTGAGTGTGTGAGTGTGTGAGTGAGTGTGTGAGTGTGTGAGTGTGTGTGTGTGTGAGTGTGAGAGGGAGAGCTGGGAGACCCCGCACAGCTGAGCATGGGGTCCACATGGGCCCAGTCACTCTACAGGCGTGACCTGGGAGCCTGGGGTGTGGGTCACGTGGAGCCCCATGGGGACACATGGCCTGGAGGGGTTGACCCCGGGCAGGGACAGGGACAGGGACAGAGGGGATGCTGGGAGAGGCCTTGAGCCCAGCCCGGCATTCTTGTAAGCTGAAGCCTGAACTGAGCTGGACTGGGATGCAGGAGCTCCCTGCAGGGTGTGAGGGATTTGGACCCCACCACGTAGCCATGGCCAGATGTGGGCAGGGCGGTTCCTGGTTAGAGCAGCTTGAGGGGGCCTCCTGGGCAGGAGGGGGCTGTGGGGCAGGTGAGGAGGGGCCTGCTCCCACAGGTCTGGCAGTCCCAGACGGTCAGCTAGGAAGCTGTCGGAAGGTGGTCTGCCTCCTCGGAGCCCGCGTGTTGCGGGGGGCCCGCCAGTGGTGTGGGAGCTGGGGTGGGGACACCGGGTGGACAAGATCCATTAGGTCTGAGCACTGCCTGGATAGCTGTTGGGAGGCTCCTTGGGGCCAGGCCAGGTCTTCTCTGCCTGGCGCACCACCCAGGGTCCCCCCTTCCCACACCCACATTCCCGCTGATGAGAGAGTTCAGTTCTCCTAGGATACTCACTGAGGGGAACCTGGACACAGGAGTGCCAGTGAGCCACCAAGTGCCCCGTGGGGCCCTGGGGAGGGGCTGGTCAGACGGGCTGCCCCTCCTGCAGGAGCTCTGGATGAGTGGGGGGGGGCAGGTGGCTGAGAAGACCCCGAAAGCGGGGACGCCATGGGTAGGCCTCTCCCAGCCTCCCGGCCGCCTTTGGCCAGCAGCCAGGTTCTCTTGCCTAGAGCTGGGAACGGGATAGTGGCAGTGGCAGAGCACCTCAACTCTGGGGTGGCCTTGGAGGGGTCCCAGACAGCAGGCACCTAGATAGAGGCATCCCCAGGTGTGGGGCAGACACCCACAGCACATGGTCATGCCACCTGCCCGTCTCTACCCCGCTCCCTCCCCAGGTGGCCCCCAGGCACTGGCCCTGGTGGCCTGATGGGCCCTTCCTTGACCTGGCCCTAGTGTCCCCAAGCTCCCAAGCCGGGTGACACTCACACCCCTCAGGGAGGGAGGGAGGGAGGCCACTGTGCCCCGGGCAGCTGCAGCCCCAGTGTACACAGGCATCCTGCCAGGTGACAGGGTGAATACCCACAGGCCTGCAGGAGTGATGTGGGGGACAGAGGCCTCAGAATCTTCCCTGAGCAGCGAGGTGGGGCCCGGCCAGGCTGCTCCTTGCAGAGGACAGGAGAGGGTGGCCAGGCATCAGGCGAGGGCCTAGGGAGGTGTCGGGGGCTTGGTGTGGGGGCACCGAGCTCAGGGGTTCCGCTTGCTGACAGGAGCTGGGCATGGAGCAGGTGGCCCGGGCCCTGCCCTGCCCCCCTCAGCTGTGCTGTCCTGGGGGTGAACGTGTGGCATTGGACAGAGGCCTCAGGGCAGGGAGGGGAGTGTCCCGGCCCGGACACCCTTGAGGGCAGGACCTGGTGGGGGTGGGCGGTTGGGATCAGATCCTCCCACCGCTGCGGCCACCACCCAGGACTCTGCCCTCCTAGACACCCCCAAAATGAAAACAGGCAGGGCCGGCAGGGCCTCCTGGCTGATGCTGGCCTCGGGATGCTGTGTCCTCCACACCCTCCCACTAGTCCTCGGCTTCCTGCCTCTGCTCAGACCCCAGGGTGGCCTCAAGGAGTGGAGCTCCCTAGTTCCTCGTCCCCAGAGCTGCGTCACCTTGGAGCCCCCCGCCTCAGCTCCTGCCACTGAGAAGACAAGTGGCCTGGCAGAAGGGGCTGCCCAGAGTAGAAGGGGCTCCTGGGGTGAGCAGCACCCCAGGGGGCTGGGAAGGGTGGTCCCCGAGAGATGCCTTGGACTTGTCACCGCCGCTCTGCCCTGCCAGGCCTGAGGGGACTCAGTAGGCTCTGAACCTGTGGCCCTTGTCTGTCGCTGGACATTACTGCACACCCATCCAACCCCCAACCCGCCACACTACTCCAGGGGGCTCCTCCCTTCACCCAGGGAAGGTCACATGACCCGGCCCCTGCATTGGCCACCCCTGGCTGGAGGAGCTGGGTGGCAGGCAGGGTAGGTGGCCAAGGGGCTGAAGTTTCAGGAAGGGAGCTGGGGGAAGGGGCCTGGGCCTCCTAAGCCCTCCACCCCGGCCCTGGGTAGCCTCCCCAGGCCCCTCGCCGGGTTAGACCTGGAGCCCCCTCAGACGGTCAGGGTCAGGGCGGGTAAGCCCAGCAGCCCCCGGAGGCTTGGGAGGCACTAATAAGACACCTGGACTGATGCCAGGCCAGGCTGTGGG